ATGGATGTACGATGCCAGAATCCCCACGTAGCCCTGTCGGCTGGCACTAAGCTTTTCCTATTACTGTTACTACCTGCATGCCTAATGTAATTACTGGTAATGTCTTCCTGAATATTGTTGATTGTGTCAAACAGAAATATTCAGCACATTTTTATCTTAAGACTGCCACTATCAACTCATATTTGGCTTTAAGTCTGAAAAAAGATAACTTCTGTGAGTAATCAGAAATGTGGCATTTACTACTTTTGCCAGTCAGTGCAATATGGTGCTGTCTTTCATTGTGTAGTGAGAAAACACTCTTACTGAGCTGCTTTACCGTATGCTATGCATACTAGATTTTTTGATTATGCTTTTAAATTTTATCTGGCCAAGTATTTAGTATAGAGAGCATATTCTCAGAGATACTTAATTACTAGGAGCAACAGGAGATTCCAGAGTAGAGCTCAGGAGGTTAAACTAAAATGTGCTGCACTGTGGAGAACCTTTGTGCTCCAGCTATGGCATGTAACTGTCCCATGAAAGAATTTTCTTTACTCTTTTATACAGATTTTATTACAAATGTTTTACTCTGAAAGCAAGAGATAATTTTTGGCAAGTAATTCTTTTAACAAAGCACAGAGAAAAAATCCTTGGTAATAGTAGAGGTTTTTTATAGTCAATTCATGCCTGGAAGACCAAGACTATATTAAAATATTTTGTTGACTTTTACTACATTAATTCCTTAGAAAATAATTTGACTGTTTCTTGGAACCATTTTGTGTGAGAGGAGTTTGTAAAATAAGCTAAAATACTGCTGTTCATTTTGAAATATTTAGTTTGCCTCTCACACTAAGAACTTCACTATCAATATTAAATAGTATATTTAATTGCATACTTAAGAAATGTGGCGTTACTTTTAATTAGAAAACTAGAGAATTGGCATAGTGGCAGTATTTTCGGTGTTACTTGAGTGAATTTTCAGAAATTTTGTTATTAATAAATTAACTTTAAACAAAAGGGAGGGGGGTGGTGTAAATGAGGGATTCTACTTGTTCTTTAAGTTTTGCCAGAGCAGAGAATATTTGGAGAATTTGGGTTGTGTAGTTTTTTGAGGCATGAAGAGATGTTCTTGTTTTCACTCTTTACTTCTTCCATCCACCTAAGATTATTTTTGCCATTTGTATGCTTATACCTTTGGAGCAGACATGTGACAAGAAAGGTAGAAGTTGTGCTAGTAAATTGCATTGAGCTTGTTTGTTTGCATAGAGTACTTTCTGTGATGTAAGGGGAATTAACGTCAAATGATATGTGTTTGGGGATGGGAGTTAGAAGACACTGAACAGCACATAGCTTCCCCGCCCCGGTTTTTTTCCCATTTTATGATCTTCAGAAAGAGAGTAGGATCTCTCCTGCAGACCCTCCAGTTTTTCCATACTGGAAATCTCCATACTGGGACAAGATAGATTATGACATGATTTAATTAAATAAAGGCTTCCATGTAAAATAAATTATCTGTCTTCGTATTTTTGGTAAAACAGTAATTACTGTCATGAAATTTTTGTTTTCAGCATACTGTTGAGAGCTTATGGAGAAGATGGAGTCAGGTGCATAGTGAAAGGGTGAGAGGGGACACACACAAAATGCAGTATTAGGAGTGCTGATTGGATATTAGGAAATCTTTTTCATGCAGTATGTTGCTATGCATGAAATATATGTGTTGGAATAGGTGGCCTGGAGAGACTGTAGAGTATTTATCTTTATAGATACTTAAAGCTTGGCTGATTGTCATCCTGACCAAGCTGATCAAAAAGAAGGTTTCAGCTTTGAAGTTGGCTGTACTTGGACCAGATAGCCCACCTCCAGATGTCCCTTACAACCATAATTAATATATGATCGCAGCAGTTCAAATTTCTAAGTAACAGGATTTGAGAATTCACATAGATAATTAGCTTGATTTTCTTTGCTTTCCCTTGTTAACATGGGGAAGAATGTCCTCCTTTGTATGAAGCTTAAAAGGCGTCTAGCTAACAAAATGATGGTTAGAAAAAAGAAAGTTCTGTGTGGGATTGTACTTACAGGGTTGCCACATCAGAGCATTTTTGGGTATGTGTTTTTGATCTCCTTGACTTCAGAAGTCTTCCATTACCATTCTCTTAATGCTTTGGGGAGAAGTCAGAGAACTTAAACAGAGCATTTTCTGTTCTGTCAGTTTTATAGGACTTGATATAAACTGACTTTTGGAGTAAAACAGACCATGTGATGGAGACGTGTAGTAAGCTCCTAACACTTAAATTTGTTTCATACTGATAAGGACTTTAAGTAGTAAATACTCTTGGTGGATTTGAACAGCTAAGCTTGGATAAAGTCATGTTAGATTAAAATGAACAATTATCTTTTGAGCTTTGTATTACTAAATTTAGTATTGGGCAGTCTACTAATTCTATAACTTTAAAGTAATTCTGTAACAAGCTTTGCTTGAGACTGGTACTGTGGTACAGCTGTTTGTGTGAACAAAGCTTTGTAGGTCACATAATTCTACCTTTCATGCTTTTGAAAACAATATTCAAGTTAAAGTTTGTGTTCCTTTTAGAAATAACACCAATGCTAGTAGTAAGAATTCCAGTGGGTTGGAAGGAGCCTTACAGATCACCGAGTTCTGACCCCCCTGCCATGGGCAGGAACACCTCCCACCAGACCAGGTTGCTCAAAGCCTCATCCAGCCTGGCCTTGAACACCTCCAGGGATGGGGCATCCACAGCTTCTCTGGGCAACCTGTTCCAGTGCCTCACCACCTTCACAGTGAAACACTCCTTCGCAATATCTCATCTAAATCTACCCTCTTTCAGCTTAAAGCCATTACTGCTTGTCCTGTTGCTGCACTCCCTCATAAAGAGTGTTTCCCCATCTCTCCTGTAGGCCCCTTAGGGTACTGGTAGGCTACTGTAAGGTCCCCCTAGAGCCTTCTCTTCTCCAGTCTGAACAACCCCAACTCTCTCAGCCTGTCCTCACAGGGAAGGTGCTCCAGCCCTCTGATAGTCTTTGTGGCCCTCCTCTGGACCCTCTCCAACAGCTCAACATCCTTCTTGTGCTGGGGTGCCCAGAGCTGGATGCAGTACTCCAGGTGGGGTTTCAGGAGAGCAGAGTAGAGGGGCAGAATCATCTCCCTTGACATTTTCAACATGAAGTTTTTTTCTTGAAGTTGTTCTGATAGAAATACACTGGATTGTGATGCCTTTTAGTTAATAATTGCTGAAAATCATCTTGCTCATCAGCATTTCACGTTAGTCCTAAAGTAAAGTTGCAGATGTAGCAGTCTGATCACTTTGCATATGCAGAAGTGATTTGGGGAAGGTGTTATTGTTTTGCATTTGCCTGCAAGACAGTGTCTACACAAGGAAATAGCCATTCACGTAACAATTGCTTTTGGGCAGCATGGGCTGAAGGGTAGAATAACCCATTGCTAGCCTGTTCCCCTGACTTTGTGGTTCCCTAAGCTGTTGGGGCAGTGAGAAGGCATCTTCTTTAAAATTTCATTCTGGAGTAGAAAGTAATACTGAGTGTTGTAGGTTGTGGGCTGACTGCCCAGTTTGAGGTTTAAGTTGGCAGTGCCTACTTGGTGTGCCTTGGAGCAGCTATGAAGGAGGCACCTGGTTTTAGTGGTAGCTGAGAGGTCAGTGCATTTTGGGTAGGAAAGCAGTTTGTTATGGTTGCAGGTTGTTTATAAAAAGAGCTTCTGTTTGTTGCTTATTTCAGCTCAGTTTTCCTTAATTTACTCATGTAGCACTGTAAAAATACTGCTTTATAAAAGCTTTGTGTATCTTTTTGGGCTTAGAGAGGCTTTTAATGGAAAACAAGTTTGACATACTACCACTTTTTATTTCTTTAAAGCTCTGTAATCACCAGAATTTTTCGATATCCTTAATCTAGCGTGTGTGTTTGTACTATACACACATATATATAAATGCATGTATGCGTACAGTCACAACTCCTAGGGATTGCTTGTCTTCTATGAATCTACAGAATTTGCATCTCTCTAAGAGCTGGAAACCTACTTGCTTTTCCTTTTGTTGATATCAATATTCTGTAATAACTCTTCTACAGTATGAAACAAAGTATTTAGTGTTAACCTTCAGGCTTACAGTTAATGTGTCTCTTCTTGAGATTGATTGTTTAAAAAGGAATTGAAAAGGTTATTGTATGTGCTAACTCCATTACAGGAGACATGGTAGTAATATGTTCATAATAGTTTGTTGCTTGATTTCTTTTGCTGTGTTGTTGACGCTAGTATTGCCTTAATGTGAAAGGTTAAAGGAAAAACAAGATGTTGAAAGTACATGTTTTAGAGAGCAGTACAATTTGAGGATGTGCTACCTAAATTTATTAAAAAAAAAAAAACCCAACAAAACACCTCAATCTTTTCTGTAAGTTATTTGATGTTTTGGCATACGTTTACAAATGTAAGTTCCTTTTATGCTCATAAACTGATATTAAATTAATGTTATAGTTGAACATCAGGTTCACCTAGATGAGTCACATGCTACTTGAAGATATATTGGCAGTTTATTTCAAGCAGAGAAGACTCCTTGCAAACTCTGAAGGATGAGTAATTTCTTCATGAAGTTCATAAACTGAACTAGGAGTTTACATTGGGACGACTATCCCGATAGGAATCCTGGTAAACAAGAGGAGTATGATGTAATTTCTCTGCCTTGCCCTGGTGTTTATCAAGTAGCTTCTTGCAGTGTTGCAGGTCAAGCTTGTGTTTCTATATTACTTATTCCACAGCCGAGTTCTTAAATTACACTATATTATTAATTTTATCAGGGAAATGAGTATAGCACTACTTCCTTGACACCAAGGAAGGACAGAAAGGACATAGTAATATTAGTTCACTAAAGGTAGCTTTGCAAGTACTTTTGGGTTTCTCTTTGTTGAACTCCTTGTCTTTTTGACCAAGACGGTACATTTGGGCAGGAGATAATTTTTTGTTTAATTGTTTCTTTTTAAACTTTCTTGAAAAGGCCACAGAGCTGTGTATATTGGAGTTCACGTCCCCTTTGGAAAGCAAGGCCGTCGACGGCATCGACATCGTGGGCACAGGCATCATAGAAGAAAAAAAGAAAAAGAGACTGACAGAGAGGATGGCCGAGAATCTCCATCATATGGTAAGAAATCTGTTTTGCGAGTTCTTTGTGTCTCTTGAAAATAAACTTGTAGTAGTTACTCCGTGCTTAAATGTTATATGTTTTGTGCATTTTCTTTTATTCTCACTGTAATGAATGGCTTCCTATGTACAATCACACAAGGATTTCGTGGTCATGTTTTATCTAAATCATAAGCTGTTGGACTACATTCAAGTGTCTATGTGAATGTTCAGCAACCTGCACTGAATAGGTTTGACAAGAGCATAATGCTCTCCTGTAGCATAAAAAATTGCTATTTCAATTAAACACCTTTTTTCAGATTGTGTAGTCTTATATTACTCTTTCTCTGTCACTCAAGATTTTTGAAAGCATGAATGTAGCTGTGAAATGGCATTTGCCATGGTAATTTGATCAATGATCTGTGTGATGGGTTTGCCCTTGGCTGGGGGCCAAACCACACACCCACTCATGCAATCCCCCCTCCCAAACCGAGGATAGGGGAGAGAATTAAAGGGGTAAAGGGAAAAAAAGACTTGTGGGTTGAGATAAGAACAATTTAATGACTAAACTACAATAATACTGAAAATAATACTATATGCAAATATACAAATGAGTGATACACAGCGACACTGCCCCCCCACCTGATGACCAAGGCTCAGCCTGTTCTTGGCTGACGATCCTGGAGCAGGGAGAGTCCTGAAACTGCACTCACGGAACGGAGATAACAGTCCGAGTGTCCCAGACCGAGAGCTGACCGGAGTGGGGGGGGAATGCCGTGGGAGAGCGACCACCTGGAGCGAGATGACCTGGAGCAAAAGAGATCCGGAACCAAAACGGCCGATCTTCTGGAGGGTCCTCACCTATATACTGGGCATGACGTGTATGTTATGGAATAGATTATTGGCCGCTTTGGGTCTCAATCCTGAACCTACGATCAAATCCTGGGCTAGTAACTGGGGCTGTGCTCCCTCCCAGCTTCTCCAGTCTGCAGACAGCCAGAGAAGATGAAAGACCTTGGCAGCCGTGTAAACATCACTTTTTATCAGCTTTCTTCTGAGCACAAATCCAAAACACAGCCTCTTGCTAGCTATTATGAAGAAAGTTAACTCTGTCTCAGCTTAAGCCAGGACAAACTGTTTAAAAGTGTTTAGTTCAGCCTTTTTGCTCTCTGTTAGCAATAGTAAAGGAATTGTACTGGCTCCTAAGTTTTAGTTTTGGATCAGACACTGCTCCCCTCGGCAGAATTCAATTCTGAATGAAGTTTATTGGTAACGCAAATCTTATGTCTAAATCTATGATCTTTCTTCCCCCATGGAAGCATACAGTTTTATGTTCAGATCTAGCAGCTGTGAGTGATATTTCAGTGAACAAAGTAAAATTTTTAAAATTAAGGTTTACCTGGATTGTCTGTCTCTGACCTTCCTTGCAATTACGTTTTTGAACCCTTGTAGAGCTCTCCATTGAGTTGAAACAAGGTCTGTGTATACATATTAAAAATATGTCCAAACCCGTGTTTTAATTATTTTTTAAAAGTTTTGCTCATAACAGTGAAGTCTGCTGCTTATATTTGATCAATAAAGATAGTTAAATTTTGTTACAAGTTTTTACTGAGCCTGTTCCTCTAGGCATTACACTGTGAGAAATTAAAATATTTCCTCAACATTTTAGCTGCGTGTTTTCCACCTTCCTGTGCTAATTTACGTACAGTGCTCCAACAATGCACTAAGAAAGGTGATAGTTTTTTGCCTCCTATGTAAGTAGCAACAGACCATTGAAAAACTTGCTGCTCTAACAATATAAGTGCCTAGATAACCATTATGTAGAGAAAAAAAAAAAAGCCATCTGTTTAGCATCTTGAACTGTTACTAGGGCAACCAGTCTATAAGTCAAGCTCTTTGTTTCTGTCAACTTCTTACGTGTTTTTTTTTTTTCCCCCCTCATTTAGTTGGTATCTGTGTCATAATGGTATCATTTATTTTGTTCTCAAAATGAAAACAAGGTTTCTAGCCCTTTGGTGTATTAGTTTTTACTTTTTTACAAATTTTGCTATTGATGTTTGTTTTCACATTGTTATCCTGTAGAAGAGCTAAAAAAAACTTAATTGCATTAAGTAAACATACATTTGAGATGTTTTGGTTTCAGAAACATGGAATAATTTTAAAAAGGCCTCCTTTTAAAGAAGTGTCCATGTTTCTTTTGTTTCTTTTCTGTCTTGAAGAGGATATTGTGCTGCATATTTCTAAATGAGAGTAGGAGATTTAACTGTTATGTGTTGTGTCTTGCATACCAGGAGTATGACTTCTTCTAATTGTTCAGTTTCTCCTTTTCTTCAAGACACGCCATCCCAACGAGTGCAATTTATTTTGGGTACTGAAGATGATGATGAACACATTCCCCATGATCTTTTCACTGAAATGGATGAACTTTGCTTCAGGGATGGAGAGGAATATGAATGGAAAGAAACTGCTAGGTATGCTAAAAATAGTTTGTTTCAAGGTATATCTTCTAGTGATTTTATTTTGAAGAACTGCAAACCAGGTCTAGGTTAGAATTTTCCTGAACTGTAGGACTTGTTCACTCAGTTTGCACTCAGCAAGTCAAAACTTAAGTTGTTTTTGTCAAACTCTGAAAGTGTCAATGTGGTTTCTCAAGAGATGTTCAGTCTTAGTGGTTCTGTGTTGACTTGCCTAAAACTGATCATGATAAGCATTGTGAAAGGTCCAGCCGTGCTTAGTTATAAATACAGGTGTTCAGCCATAGAGCACGGTATTTGCAATCTCAGAAATTTCTTTATTATTGCCGGTATGTTAGTGTCAATTTTTTTCACTCAAACATAAAGAAAATTTGGTATTTAAATATGTTGTTATTAGGTAGCATGAGATTAATCTTTTCCAAATTGCATGCATGAACATTACAGCATGCCACAATTGTTTTTGGCCCCTATTGGTTAAGTTGCTTCCTTGTATGTATGAGTTGTAATAAAGTCTTCTGCACTCAGTACTTCTAATTGCCTTATTGCATGCTGGCTTTTGCAGAAGTTCAATTTACATAATGCCTGTGAGTCAGAACCAAGATCAATTTATAGTTACGCATACTAGTATTACCTACCTCTTAAATGTCTGACTTGGCACCCCAGCAGACTTGAACATTGCATAGGTGTGTTTCAAACAGCTTTCTAGTCCTAAAATACTGATGAAACTGAGATATGCAAGTCAAGTTACAAGGCACAATACCACACTTTTCACAAGAATTCGTGAACAGACAGGTATTTTTCAAACCAAAATAAATGAAATGGGCAAAAGCTAAAAGTTGAGTGTATTTAAAAGGCCTGATAGAACTGTTGTGACTGTTAGTTGGGTTGTCTGGGAAAAGGCGATATGAGCTGATGGAATTTCCTGTTCCTTGTAGCACAGAAGCCACAGGGAAGAATGGTATTGCTTACCAAATTGTCTGTGTTCCAGGAGAAATATACATATGTGTATGTGTTTCAGGTGGCTGAAATTTGAAGAGGATGTAGAAGATGGTGGTGATCGATGGAGCAAGCCTTATGTAGCAACTCTGTCTCTGCACAGTCTCTTTGAACTGCGAAGCTGTATTCTTAACGGGACAGTCATGTTGGACATGAGAGCAAACACACTAGATGAGATAGCAGGTTGCAGCAAAGCTTTTTTAAAAAATATCTTATTCCTAAATTTTAGTTTATAACTTGAGACGTTTTTGATGGTGGTGTCTTTTTATGTTCTTGAAAATACTGTATTGAAGAAATAGGTTTGTGCGTGCATACTGCAGTTTTTTCATCTGGTTATAAAGAGCTGATCCTACAAACTTCTCTTACAAGGAGCTACACTGGATGAGTAGGACCTCCTTTATTACGTATTTCAGGATGAGGCCCAGAATTTGCCTTTATGTTATAATCCCTGAGTGTGTTCTTTGTTTCTACAGATGTAATGTAAATATCTGCCAGAACATTTTAGGACTTATTTGTGCACTTTAGTACCATCATTATTAATCATAACTTGGCTGATGTTAACTTGATGCCATTAGTGCAGTTGATTGTTGCACATCTGGTATTTTTTTTTTTTACCTTTATAAGAGGTGAGCAGAAATAAATTTTTTACGTGTTGTTTGAACTACTATGTTGAGTGTCCCCTCTAATTACATGGTCATTTTGGATACTATAAAATCAACTTTGAAGACTTCTTCATAGAGAGAGAGAGATATACATACATACACACACATACATACCTACTTAGTCTGAATGCTTTTGAGCTAGTTTCACATAATTTTCCTGATACCTCTTGCTGCAGGTACCACACAGTAGAATGCCTTTTCAAGAGTCATACTAGCCATAGGGCTGACCAACATGTATGTGAAGGACAAGGTGTTTTGGCATTAAAAACTGTGGCAGTACTTGAAATGTTTTCTTATTTTGTTTTGAAATCTTTGAAATTCACTCAGGAAATTGGTATTCCCTTCCTATTTTCCTGACTTACCGAGCAAGAGTGTTCAATACGTGGTTTGTGAAAGTAATGTTTTGCTTTTTTAATTTATTTTTAATAATTGAATTTAGCAATAATCTTAATACATAAGAAAAATAGTTGTTACTTAATTCTATCTTAACAGCACTCTTTTAATAGCAGGTATTTTAGGTGGAACTAGGATGTCTTAAAAGATTGCATGAATTTGTTTCAAGTTAATTTTAGGTGCCAGTATGAAACATGTAGGATAACGATTCTTGGCATACGAATGTATTGTTGTGTGTCCGTGAGCCAGGAATACCTAGTAGGTGTTGTTGGTTTCCACTCAAAACAGGAGGGAGAGGGTGGCATGTTTCCTTCTGAGAAGCTACAAGAAAAGGCTATATGTTGCCAGTAATCCCAGAAGGAAGCTTCACTGTACTGACAGAGACTTTGCTGCATATAGTTTTGTTTGTAAGGTATTCTGAGCCATAACAGTTTTCATTGTGAAAAGTTCTATGTAATTGCAATAGACCAATACAATTAGGTTCTTGATATATCAGTTAAGAATGGCAAAATACATTTTAGAAGTTGTCACATAGGTTTGTGATGATTTTTGCAGGGTTTGGCATTTTTCAGTTTTTATATTAATTAAAATAAAAAAGGCAGCTAAGAAATCACAGCAGATATTTTTGCAGACATGGCTTTCTTTCCTGGTGTGAGTATACTGATGAGATGCACTTTGATAACTTGATGTTGTTTGACTGATTAGTTACTTTTAAGTGACGTAACTAGCTTTTGGTTAATACTTACTCTTCTAAAGCATGTGAATCTGATAAAGTTAGATAGAGAGCCTCCAGAGCTTAGGGCATCTAAAGGTGACATAGGAGTTAGGGAATTTATCTCATTCTATAATAACTTTTGTATAGTTGTATGCTTTCAAAATAGGGAACACCAGGTTAAAACTGTCTTAAGAAGTCTGTTCTCCATTCTTTCTGTCTTTGTGTGTCCCCTTCTACTGGAGGGTTGTTGAATACACAGATAATTTTTTTTTGAAATGGAGTCACAGTTGAAGTAAAGGACAATAAATTATAAAATATTAAGTAACTTATTTCTTAACATGATGCTCCTAATAAATACTGTCTTTTGGATCTTCATGTTGTGCTTTTGTTATTCTCACTGTAGTGACGTCTTTGAAAGTGGGTTCTTAAAGATGACTTTGCTAAAGAGAATACTTTTTAAAAATAGATTTTTGAAACATTATTTATTAATAATTATTTGGGTCAACTACAGTACTTGAGTGTGGTGAAGGAGAGATTTGATAGCTATATATATAATTTTCTTTTCTGTCATTATTATCTAGATATGGTTTTGGACAACATGATTGCCTCTGGCCAGCTGGATGAATCCATAAGAGAGAATGTGAGAGAGGCTCTTCTAAAAAGGCACCATCATCAGAATGAGAAAAAGTTCAGCAATCGGATTCCGCTGGTTCGGTCTTTTGCAGATATAGGCAAGAAACATTCTGACCCTCACTTGCTTGAACGAAATGGTGAGATAAGTTTTAGCATCCAGTTTGTTCTAACCTGTTAATAATGTTCTCACTGGGAGATGAAGGAAAATTCAGCTGATAATAGCAGATAAGTGTTTCCTTCTTGATAAGCAAAGAGCTAATGATAACAGTGTGTGCTATGTGTAGCTGTGGACGATGTTTCTGTATATTTTTGAATTTACTCAAACATTCTGCTCCTGCCTGTATACACAGCATGCATTATTGTTTTGAAGTATAAAAATAGACCTACGTAGGTTGTAATTATTTTTAGGATATACTTGAATAAAATCTGTAAAGTTTGAGGAATTTCAGCATCATGACATAGCTTTTTATATGTTTGTCAGATAGATCCTACTTGCTTATTCAGTCTTTATACTAGAGATTTGCTTTTGTGGTCATGTCATGAGTTCAGTGATGCTGACTGCTACTGTGGTTTAATCCAGTGTTGTTATGTTAATATGATTAGAAGTTCACTGTGCTAATAGTGAAGAAAATACTTTTAGCTAGAATGCTTTATTTTTACCTTGTTTTATGGAGAAGGATCTATCGAGGAAAAAAAATATCCCAAACCCAAGAAAGGTATTTGCAATGGTTTAATAGGCAGTACCACATATTTTATTGAACCAACTCCTGAAAGTATTCTGGAATATCAATACATTTACTCTAGACATCCAGTTCCAAAGTCCAGATAGCAATATATATACTGCAGAACAGAATATTTGTATTGTATGGGCCTTTATTTCCATCTCTGTTCTTTGTTTTGCCTTGCATTAACTAAGACACATAAACTGAAATTTTTTAGTCTACTGAAAACTTATACTGATTTAATGAATCGGTCCTTGAAGAGTTCCTTTCCTATCTTGAAAGATGCCTCATTGCTTACAACATGTTCCACTTAGTTAAGTGCTTGTTGGGAGCTCTCAGTTTTATGCGTATTCAGAGTATGCTTCAGCAAATGTCCCAGCTTGCTGATAGTTTTTGTTAGCTTGTGAATAATTAAAAAATAAAATAGCTCATTGCATGCTTAAATGTTTCTGTGATAGTTTCAGAAATATTTTTTCTAGAATGAAAATATAACTAATTTATATAAGAGCATAAGTTTTTCTATAACTTCTGACTTTCCTCTTTTGTTTTGCCAACATGAATGTTTCACATATAAACTTGGTTTTGCTCACCCTTGAACACCTGTATCCTCAGTTGTAATTCTGAGAATTTTGCATTTGAGCTCTCTTGCTCGTCAGTTGCTTTTCATGTATCACTTCCACTTTCTAGTGCATTTTAGTCTTAATGCTATTCCTACAACAGAATATGGCATATATGCTGAAATAAGAAACAAGTATAATGTGATGATCTCTTTGCTAGTCTATACTGATTTACTTTCTATTTTTAATCCTATGGTTACCCTTTAATAAACCAGGAAACCAAACATGCATATGTGCATAATACTTTTTAGACTCCTTTTTGCTCCTCTGTGTGTTAGAACATCTCATGCTCATGATTCATCACAGATATGCTGACAGAAGTATAGCTGTATTATTACTGTAGTGATTAATATAAACAAAACCAAACAGTTTGGTTTATTGGTTCTCTTGTATTTACTGCACTGCAGTTTTAATCGTTGATCTTTCAGGCTTTTGTTCTTAATTTAAATCAAGTTTGTATCTGTAGGATCCACTCTTCTGTTTTTTGGGGTGGGGGGAATGTATGTGACTTTTACCTAGGCATACTTTCTGCATCTTCTTGTAAATTATTCTAGGGTTGTTCAACATATTGGTCTCTGTAGTATAAATGTGAGACTAAATGTGTCTAGTTTGCTGTTTCCTTCCTTGATTGGGTGGTATGTAAAAACAGCACGTTTTTGATTTCAGGAATTGTAGAAGTAATCAGTAGTCTTCCTGACTGCCATCCCAGGAAGAGTGTTTGTGGTAAACGGGAGAAATGGTATCACTAAACCTGGAAGTGCTGATATGAAGGTAGACAGTCTTTTTAACGGAGAGCTGAAATCCATTACAAACTTAAATCTGAGGGAACCGTGACGAGACTGTGTTCTCTTTATATAAAAATAGTGAGACATTGAGACTGGATAGGGTAAAAAAGTAACAATGGATTTTGGAGAAACATGTTTTATTTTAGGCAAATGGGGATATTTAGTAAGTCACAGTAAGAAGAAATGGAGATGGGACTGTGTATCTTACCTTTGTGCCCTCTTCAAAGCTATATATTAGAGGGTAGGCTAGGAAACTCTTATTAAAACAAGACTCCTATTGGAAGACAGTTGCATTTAACATGGTTAGATATATTTGATCATGTTCATTTCAAAAATATTTAATTTTAAAAGTTTAACAATTCTTTGTATATAATGGATGCAGTTGACTGTGAAGTCTTGTAATGTTTTGGCTGCTAATGTTTTTTTAATGTATTTTTTGTATTGTGTGAAAGGTAGCTGCTGTGCAATTTGGAATAACAAGTTCTAGGAAATTTTAAAAGTCAGTTTCAAGAGACAATTTTTTTGGGGGTTATATTAACAAATCTTACTGATTTTTTAAGATATCTGACGTTTCTTTGGCATTCTAATTAGTACTCATCAGTAATTTCTGACTTCTCATGTCTGAAACCAGATTTGCTTTTATCTCTTGCCTTACTTGCATGAGTATGACACTTTTGGCCTGTAAAGCTTGCAATTTACTATGTAAATTGTTAATGCATAATTGTATGTGTTTTTTTCAGTATATCCCTGTTGTAAGCCTCATGGTGTTTCATTTGTTTTATCTCAGGGGAAGGCCTTTCAGCCTCCCGTCATTCTTTGCGAACAGGTCTCTCTGCCTCAAATATTTCCCTGAGAGGAGAAAGCCATTTGTCAGTTCTTCTCAATTACCTTCTTCCTTCTTCAAGAGCTGGAACCCCGGCAACCTCAAGATGTACAACCCCTGTAACTACCCCTCAAAACACACCACCGTCCAGTCCTGCCTGCAGCCACCCGCCAACCACAAGTGCCCAGCCAAGTGCACTTCAGGGCAAGGAATTGCTGGTGTCACCTGCCAGTGATGATATTCCTTCAGTAATAATCCACCCACCTGAGGAGGACTTAGAAGTGCAGGAAAGCCAGGAAAAGAAGACTGAGGAAAATATTGACAAAACACCAGGCAACTATTGAAATTTAAACTGTCCATGTGTGATGCTCTCTGCATCTGGATCACTTGCATTGTGATGTTTTTGGCACATAACTTGGGCACAAAGGAATATGATAACTGTTGTCTCTGCCTGCATGTTTTATTTCTTCTCAGTTGTGACTGTTTTCTTGTTTGGCATTTTTAACTTTTTAGCTTTTAACTAAAGCCAGCAAAAAAAATTACTTAATTAACCTTCGTTTGTGTAATTAAAAAGGAATATGGTTTAAAAATATAATATATAAGCAAAATGTCAAAAATGGTGGCCTTTTCCTTTCACTCACCTATAGTCCACGTCAGGTTTTGCCTTGTTGTTTTTGTCAGTGGTTGAAGTAATATTTTAAGCTAGTGTTTGATATCCTGAGATAGCTACAGCCGAAGATGTAATGAAGTATTAGAGATGAATATGGAAAGAATAGGAAACATGCAATAATCAGTGGTGTTTGTAGTTTAGTTGTATCATGAAGTCTTTAAGCAGTTTTGGTGTTTTTTTTTGTTTTTTTTTTTTTTTGTGCTTTTAAAAACCAGGGCCATTAAAAACAGTAGTAGTTTATTATGGAACCGGCAAGTTCAGTTCGGCTGCAGCTGTTTCCAGATAGCTATTCATTAGTGCACTTCTTCAAAATCAAACACTTGATTACTGTTTTGTTGTGTTTGATATGCAAAATAGGATAAGGTAGGTCAGAGCTGGGCAATTGATTAATTTGTTGTCTTGCAAAGCTATTGTTCTTTACATGTTAAAAGGTATGTAGAAGTATAGATAAGTTGAAAGAGAGGATGGAAAGTTCTGATGGTTTCTTTGTTTCTAGTAAATGTTTCATAACTTGTGCATTCTGAATACATACTGTAATAATTGCTTTGCTTTTGCAAAATTATAACCTCTTCAGAGACTTTAGGGTTCTTCTAGATGGTGTTTTTAAGGGGATCATCTTTCTTTGCAGCCTTCAGGCTCCTCCTGCTTCAGCTCCAGTGCCGGCCCCCCTCCTCCCCCCCGATTTTATCTTGTGAAAATCTGGCTTGTAGGTTTTCCTCTTTATGCCTATGCATATTGAGGGGGTGGGGGTAGGGGCTAGAGAAGCTTATTTCATTCAATTCTTTGGTCAGTAAGGTTTTTCTTGGTTTCCTTCCTCACTCGTTTAATAAGAACTCACTGTTACATGTAGCAGTGAAAATTCGCTGACAGAGAAAAGACTCTGGTTATCTGCCTTTTCACATTTTGCAGCCAAGACACTGAAAAAAAACCTGTGTTGTTAGGCTATCATCTTAAATTGGAGTAGAAGGCTCATCCTTCCTTAAATTCAGAAAAGCAAATAAAAACCTCTTTCTCTGACTTCCTTTTGGGAACTTAAGAGAAGTCACATGAAAATCATTCCCTCTCATGAGCCATCTTTCAAAGGTAATTAAAAACCAGAAGTAAAATAACAACTGTAATTGGTTTTCCAGTTCTCATTTTTCTACTCATCTGACAGGAATGACAGCATGCCAGACCCAAGGTCTTTAGAACCCAAGAGAAGGCAAACAAATGAAGTTCAAGTACTTGATGCTATTATTATCGCTAATAAAGCTTTCCACCAGAATATCCAAGTCATGTTCAAATTGCTTTTGTGCCTCAAGGGGATGTTTCTCATAGAGGAAAAATCTGAAAGGGATGATTTCCCAGTTAATCCATAAATAAAAGTCTTTCCAGAGAAAGATGAACACCAATGATGATGGAAGACATTCTTGGTTTTTTGGGTTTTTTCCCTCCTTCTTAATTCAAGAAATCATCTGACCACAGAAAGACACATTTTCCTTGGAGATACCTTTGAAGACATTCTCGGACTGTGATTTCAGATCTGCAGTTGGACTAATCTCTGTCTTCTTGGAAGACAGATTCAGAAGGGAACCCCGAAGAGGAAGTCATCTTCCTTGTATTAATAAAAAGAAAAAAAGGTCTTGGTCCATTCCACTATAGATTATTATTTGTATTATCTTTCTAGTAATTCAGAATATTGCATCCTGAATACTTGTTCCATGTCTGCATGATTCAGTTGAGTTTGCCTCCTGTGAGAATTAAGAACTGTTTTAATTTTCTAATAAATTGATCTCTTCTGTTTAGCATTGGTCTATCCTTGGCCATTCAGATTTCATTTTTGAGTCTTTATAAATAGCTGGAAGGTTACTGAAAAATAATGCGAATTACTGTAAAAGAAGGGAAGAGGGGGGCACTTTCAGTCTACTGCTTGATTTTTATCAGCCAGTCATCAGTTCATAGTAAGTCAACCAGGCAAAGGGTTCTCTTTAACAGTTTTTTTTTCTTTTGTCATTAGTTCAAGAACAACTTTTGTTTTCCCTTCTTTGAAACTGTTGAATAATGAATTCCATAGGTAGAGCTAGGAAAAGAGCTGTGTTACAGCTAAAGGTGAACACTGTTAGTTCACCAGCATCATTAAGCTATGTTAATGTCTGTGTATGACAGCAAAGCAGCCTGTTTTAAGTGGTATTTTAGTTCACTGATAAATGTACTTTAAAACTGAGTGAAATAATTACTGTAAGAACAAAGCTGTTCTAAATATTACTTACTGCAAATAATATTTCAGAAAGTTTTACATATTTCCCTTGTAGGATTTGCCTTCTGATATTTTTTTCAAATCAAAACTGCATTAGAATTTATTTTAAAAATGTATTTTTATTTCCTTCAAGCATAAATATGATGTAACTTTGTATTTAAAAGTTTCCATTTCCTAAATTTTGCCTGTGTAAACATATTTATATTGGAACTGTCATGCTTAGGTGTTGAACTCTTTTCCCCCAACATTTTTTTTTTTAACTGAAGTGGAGGTGTGAGGCAGATGTCTGCATTCTTCTTGATTTCTTTTTCTAGTAGATAATGTTCATTAGATTTTTGTGATCGCAGCGTTAAACCAAGTGTGGTTGGCTACAAATGCGTGTGATCTTTAGTGAAGGTGTAGTTCTAAGTACTGTGATTTGAGTGATTTTACAAGGTTTTAATCCAGACTTAATCAAGACTCAATCCCCTGTTGTCTTTCAAAGGAGGCAGGTGATATATCTGCATAACAAAATCAAGACTAGTACTGTGTATTTTTAATGATCTCCTTGGAAGCTTGGTAAGACTAGGTGAGTTTCTCTGTCTCACAGTCTGGAAAAAACTAGGTAGTCTTCCTTTCAGCAGTAGCCTCTGCATTTGTATCTACTGAACTGGAGAAGAGAAAGAAATAAGTTCTTTTATTAGTGTGAGATTTGAGTAAAAGTGTTCCACTGTTAGAGGTGATTTTTTTTTTTTTTGACTTTCCCCGCAAATAGCAGGATGATGTGCGTAATGAAAAGCAGTATCGTATGGAAATGCTTGCGCAGATCTGAAAACCTGTAAGCAGTATTCTCATGTGAGCACAGCAGTCTGTACAACTGCAAGACCAGCAGAAAGGAAAACTAGTTATGCTTGTTTAGCATCAGGCGAATGTTCCTGTATCAGTGCCAAAACTTGTGGACCTTAGCTGTGACTTAGTTGGAGAAATGTTGAAAGCAAACCTTTTAGATGAAACAGTATCACTTAGAAGTGAAATAATTACGCTAATATGTAGAATCCTTGTTCTCTATCCTTCTCCGTTATTGTCTCTCCACTTTTTGTTCTAGCCTCTGCTTGCTCTTGCTCACACAGTGAAAAGTGCAAAATGATGCATTATTGTTCATCTTCCATCAGTCATACGCATCTTCTGCTGCCTTTTTTGATCTGCAGGGGGAAAAAGTGAAAAAAGTTTTTGTATAAACTTTTATATTATGGTCATCTTCTGCAACACCTATTTAATATTTCTGTTCTATTTCTAGTCCTATAAACACATCTTAACATCAACTCTTATGCAGCTGAATACTTTGAACAGATGATTTCACAGGTGGTTGATTGCTGCAAGTTATTCTTGTGAATAATGTGTACATCTTGGAGTGGAAGGGTAGAATGTGATTTTTTTTGTTTTTTTTGGTCTAGCTGACTGTAATATTTTTATAGTATTAACTAATTATGCATCTTAGGATTCACAAAGGAAACTGCAGGTTTTTAACTTCATTTGGTTTTTGCTTCAGGAAAAACTACCCACACCACTTGTATACCCCTATGAACTGTAAGAATGAAAAATTAATGGTAAAGGCTTGGACCTGCATGTTTTCCATTGATATGATGGCTCTTTGAAAGAGGTTTTTGGAAATATATTTGGAGATCAAAAAAATTGAATTCAGTTGTCACTTGAAATTATAAAAAATGTAAAATTGCTAAATTATAAACACGGAGGGGTGCAAGTAGTTATGTGGCACTAGTTACGATAGAACAATAGCTAAAACACAGCCAGTGAGGTCCTCAGTTTTATCTTGACTAGAGTGACACTTGACCTAAATACAAACTTTATGCATGTAATGCAGTGTTTGGACTTTAGTCTTTGTCTAGATGTGGTTTTGAAAGCATGTTAAAGCATGTTTATCACCACATCTGCACAGTCTAGTGTAGACAAGCAAGGCCAAATGCACTTCTAGTGCATGTTAAACTGAACCAAGTAAAAGGTCTGTAATCCAAAAGATGGGATTTGGGTTTGGTTATGCATGCCTAGACCAGCTTTTAGATGATGCTTGGGTATGGATAACCGTAGCACAACATGGAATTCAGTGTGTGTGAACACCTGGGTAACTTGACTTTTGCACCCTTCACTGAACCTGCAATTCCATGTTGCTAGTAGTGTGGCAAGCTACATAAAACAACGTCTTAGTGCAGATGTTGGAGGGAAGCTGTATGTTTAACTTGAATAACTTTATTTACATGCCTCTTTAGCTAATGTGTTAGTGTCCATTTCATATAGTAACATCTGGTCAGATCAATAGTTGGAGCTTTGGTCTGTTGATTGAAATTGTGGTTTGTAGGCTGAGTATCCTTCATGTAGAACACTATTCGCTTGTACAGGTTTAGTTAAGTACCAGGGTGTCATTCCTTGTAGTTGTAGCCTGAGGCTTGTTGGTGCTTTTTACAATTGAAATAACTGCAACACAGCAGACTAGATAGCAGATGTATTTGCTTTTGGTGTTCAAGGACTTCTAAATATTGTGAAGATGCTGTCTACCAATTACTAGAGCAGTTATGATTAACATGTCAACACTTGTTATGTTTGCTACAATTAAAGTAGCTCTTATTTTCTTTTCTGGTGACTGTTCTGCAAATGGCCATCATTTGGGCAATATTTAATTTTTTTTTATTATGTCGTTATTTTGATAACACAGTGACTTGTTAATGTTGCATTTATGACACTAATGTAGGGTGCTGTTACTGAATAACTTGCACATTTGCTTTAAGCAAGCTGCCACATTGAGTTTTGGTATATTCAGCTCACTTCATACACCGTTTTGAACTTATCTCCATTGTTTTAATTTAGGGCTATTAGCATCTCCACAGTCAGCACCTGGAAGTTTAGACACTGGGAAAAGTGGAGACGTCAAAGGTACTGGGACAGGAGGAAGCAGAGAAAACAGCACGGTTGATTTTAGTAAGGTAAATAACATTAAATACCTTAATGCTTAGCACAAAATAACTATATAACAAAAACTATGGTGGCTGTAACTGCTTTCTTAGTTAGAACTAAGACACGTATATGTATGCATGTGTATGAGTGTACACCAGGCATATATATGTACTAAGCCATAACTTGTATGTGTGACTGTCAGAATATGGTGTAGGCTAAATGTGTCAAATGTTTTGAAACTCTTCCCAGTGGGACTGAACTTTCTGTTTCATTTGATGATCTTTTCAGTATTTTGGTAACTTAGAGTGCAGCCGCTGTACTTTTCTCATGCAGAGGAAGATATTTTCAGATCTGCTGTAAAGAGTCTAATGAAAACAATTTTGTAGATGGTGTTGTAACATTTTTTTCTAGTACTGACTTCTACTGGTTTGTGGTTTTTTTTTTTTTTTGGCAGAGATCTTTTAAAGGGAATTTGCTTAATATGTTTAATGAGCTTACTCTACAAAAGTTATTGTACATGGCACTTTCTGAAAGAAATCTTGTGTAATGTTGTAAATCCCTTGTATTTCTTTCATAATTTAAATTTGCTGGGCAAGTTGCATTATAGCTTTTGCTATAAAACTCAGTCTGTAGTGTTATCTGTACTGTGAAACACTAAGAAAATTGGTTTGCCAAGTTACGTAATTATGTTTAAGGAAAGCTAACTTACACTGTAGTTCTCATCTAATCATGGCAGGTGCCATTTATTCATGCTCCTCTGTCACAGTTTTTATGTTTTTGCTTGGCCTGTCCTTCTGTACACCTGCCTTGTCTCCTGTTGGGCAGGAGTCAGCCTCCTGGCACTGTAGTTGTGGCACACTTGGTGTGGGACTCAAGAGGCCATCTGTAAGTTCTCTACATAGCAATGTAACTGGTGCTTTTGTGTGTGCGTGTATGTATGTGAACACAGAGTTCATGTGCTGTACCATTCGCTAGTGCTCTTCTATAATTATGTACAGAAATGAAAGTTAAGATTTTCAGCCATCATATTCTTTATGGATAAAGACATGAACATATAAATTATTTTTCAAAATTATGACACCTTTGAAATACACAGCTGTGAAATAACTAATTGCATTCTAGAAACCATCTGTAATTACATGAACTCTCCTTAGTTAATTGTGCATAGATTTTTTTTATGTTCTATCATGGAATGTTTGTCATGATAGGTGATACTAGAAAGGTGGTTATGCAGTTTGGAGTCTTGTAGAATATAGTAGGTGGTAGTAATTGTAACTTTTAGAAAATAGTTTATTATTAGTTGGCTGGCTGGCTGAGTTTTTCTACATGTTTGTCTTTTCTGTACTGTGGGATATTTAATTTGCTTTTATATTTTTCTTTGTAGCATAAATATCTAGTAAATACTGTTAAAACTTGTGATTATGTTATAGAATTTCTGCTAACAAATGTAAGGGAATAAACACTTGTTTCATCTTTGTGTGAATAGGTTGATATGAACTTCATGAGGAAAATTCCTTCAGGAGCAGAAGCATCAAATGTGTTAGTGGGAGAAGTAGATTTTTTAGAAAGACCTATTATTGCTTTTGTGAGGCTCTCCCCTGCTGTGCTTCTCTCAGGTCTCACAGAGGTTCCAGTTCCTACACGGTAAATAAATGCCTGGAAATTCTGGCTTTACTTATACAATAAGATGATCATATTTAAGATATCAAATGGTTGTAGATTTTTTTTTTTTATACAGACTCTATTAAGCTCAAGAAATGTAGACTTGTGTTTTAACATGATGCCAGTCATTTGCTGCAAAATTTGAAGGAACGAGGTCTACCATAAATGTCTCTGAATGCTTTAGATATACAAATGTAATGATGCTGTCTTAAGCAAGTGCAGAAGTTGAAAATAATAGATGACCTGGAGTAAAAGCATTGAGTCTTCCAAGCTTGTGTTGCCATTTTAAAGATGGGCATAGCTCCCTTCAGTGCAATGCAGCATGACAGTGGGGAAGAGTCCACTAAGTCTGAAAGTCTTTCTAATCTGAAGCTCTGCTCTTTGCGTGCAAATACTCTGTATATGAATAACCTAGGTGCTGGAAAAACTTGACTTTTTTTATTAAATGCCCAAATCAACATGATTGACACTGAGGTAACCAATCTGCAGCTAATACATTGGATTGGTTTTCAGTCTGCAATATGCCATCCAGCCTGGCGCACATCCCCATCCCCCTGTAATAATGGGTCTCACCAGTATACTGTGGGTGTATTTACTATAGATGGTCAAAATGTCAAAATGCAGGTCCCATAATGCAGATAGCAGGTCATTTCATCGGTCATTAGGGAGTACCCTTCATTTTCTGTGCACATTAATGTACTGGGATGTTCTGTGGTCTTTGGCATAAATTTGTACATGTATGTTGTTCAGTGTTTTTGTTTTTTAATGTTTTAAAATTATCAAAGTGCTTGTTTATCTTTGTAATTTTCATCTTACACACTAATGAAGGCAGAAATAATCTTGGCAATGGTTTTACAAATAGATGTGAGAATTCTCAGAGGGTGGTTGATGTTAGTGCTCATAATGTTGTTGGGAAATTCCAAAATTTCTGCATACAGATTATTGTATTAATGTAGCTAAAATTATCCTGTCATAAATTTTTCAGAATGATGTAGACTTGTAGATTTGGAATAGCATACTTGATTCTGAAGATGTAATCTCAGTTTCAGTTAGGGTAGTCAACTTGCCAAGAAAAAGTAACAGAGCTTTTTGCACTGTGAGATGAGAGAAGGTACTACTTTTTCCAAATGTGTTTAGGAACTTCATTTTCATGGAGTATGGGAAGAAGGTTGTGAAAAGAATTTCTGAAGTTCGCTCTTCAGTTTGTATCTTTTTGAATTTATAAGCTACTAGTCCTGTTCAAGTTTGGTTTTTTTTTTTTTTTTTGAAGTGATAACTATTATTGTGATTAGAAATGGAGACTGTTAGTTAACATATGCTGTGACCCACCCCCAGATTGGATTCCCTTCCAAAAAGGTCACTTTTACTTCCTTAGGTGTTCAAAGTGCAGGTTCCCTTCCTTTCCACTGACACAGGATGAGTATATGCCTGTATGTGTATGTCCAGTGCGTTGCTTGAAGTATATCTGTGCATCCACTGAGTGACATAGCCAGTTACTGCAGGTGAGAGGGGTTTAACTCCTGTGAAGAGATGATCATCACGGAGGCTAGGACAGGTCATAAAGCTCCTAGGCCCTCACTAAGGGGTCTTTGACAGTGGGAACATCAGAAAGGCTTATAATCTGGAGGAAATATTCATTGAGATTTAGCCTGTGGATTTCTACTGTGTTTACAGCATTATAAGAAGTTGAAAAATGAGGCTTAATTAAGAAGATTTCAGAGTAATTTTGGTTCAGGCCTTAAGTACCTTCCAGTAATGACTTCGAGGCAAGTCTTTTCTTAGTCTTGCAGCAGTCTTTAATATCTGAAATGGTGAAGAAGATATTTTCACTTCACCATTAAATTTTCTTTAAACATTAGTTTGAAAGAACCCTCTGAGTATATTCAAATGGGTCAGTCATATTAATCTCAATTGTTTTCTCCACAGGTTTTTGTTTTTGTTGCTGGGACCAGCAGGAAAAGCTCCACAGTACCATGAAATTGGAAGATCAATAGCAACACTTATGACGGATGACGTGAGTGATGTATTCTAAATGCTTCTAGTTAAAGAAGTCTAGAATAATGTATTTACTGCATTGTTTTCAATAAATGTATTCTGGAATGACAGGTTGTAAAGGGAAAAAAAACCAAACTGCTTAAATGAAGAACTGTAAACTTATTTCTTATGTTTGATAATGGAAAATAGCTTTTCCCTTTGTCTGTCTTGAAGCAATCCTAAATGTATTTCTGAAAAAGACATTGTAGCTTTGGTGTATACATTTAATTTTTGTATTAAATTAGGAAAATGGAACCGTGTCTGATATGAATCACTGTATGTTGAAAAAACCACAGCAAACTGTAAGTGTTCAGGACAGGAAGTTTAGGAATAAGTGTGATTGAGTCATCATAGTTTTGTTTTTTTTTATCCAAGGAGGGTCAAATAATTAAAATTAGAATTTTACTAGGCACTTGAAGTCCTATGCTTGGAGCCCTCGTGGATGGTTTTAAAGAGCACAGGCGAATCCGGTCTTTTTTTTAAGATCATGGTAATCTTACTGAGCAAAATCAGGGTGTTTTAATTCTGATTTCGTACTGAGCTCCACCTACTGAATTGCTGATAATTATGGTTATCTAGCAGAAACTCTAGTATTTCTTTACTCCAGAACAATTTAAAGTTCGGGAATGTAAACCAGAAATTGGTCATTTTACAATTGGGCAGCTAGTCCGTAAATACAATTATTTGTTCAGTGTGAGAACTGAATGTTAAAATCTTTAGTTGCAGCTTCTAATTTTTTAGGTAAGCTAAGTTTTAGGAACACTGTAGATCATTGAAATAGAAAAAATCAAATTATTCAAGGGTCTGAAAAGACCTCAACAGACTTAAAAGGTCTAATTTACAATTAGAAGACTTAATAGTCAGGTCTTTGGAGACAAACAGTTAAGGTTTCAAATGTATAGAAGGAATTCAGGATCATCTTCTGCAAACAGTTTTATAGCAAAACTAGCATTTTTTTTTTTCTCTCTGTATAAAGTGCAACTTGGAATTCAGGGATTGTTTTGTTTAAATACTGCCTGTTTTTCAATTCAGAGTTTGTGTTGTAGTAGTCTGTAGAACAGCGTAGGGTGGTTTATTTTAGTAGTAGGAGGATTGCTTTCATGTGCTTTTGAAGAAGTCTTTTAAAATTAAACATACAAATGAAGTTTTTATTGATAAAAACTTGTGTTTTGGTTTGAAGGTTTAAAGTATTTTTGTCCTGATTTAGCACAGCATAGTGGCACAGTGGCTGTAGAGCAGAATTATTCAGGCATGAATTCAGTACATGAACTTGATATCCTGAATATTGAAGATTAACTTTTTAATTAATTTTAGAAATGAGCTCAATATTCCTTTTGAGTTTGGAGATAAACTTCCTTATTTTATGTTCCGTAGGGCTATGCATACAGGTAGTTCTTAATGCAAAAGTATGCAGGTAAAGTAAAAGCCTAACTTTTGCGGACCTATAAAAAGCTTCCCATGCCTTTCTAAAAGTAGTGAAGTATTCCTTGTAATCAGTTCCCCTTTAAAAAAAAAAAAAAGATATTGTGTACTTTCTTTTTGTAGGTTTTCCACGATGTTGCATATAAAGCAAAAGACCGAAATGATTTGTTGTCAGGAATTGATGAATTTTTAGACCAAGTGACAGTCCTGCCTCCAGGAGAATGGGATCCATCTATACGAATTGAGCCACCAAAAAGTGTTCCTTCCCAGGTAACAGAAAAAAAAACCCAAAACACAAAAGTCCCATAGAGAGCTCCTGTGATTTTTTTACTTTGAAAATGCCATTTACCAATGCAAGTGAATTGTGTACTGAGTATAAACTTAGTAAAGCATCAGGAAAGCTCCTGCATCCATTTGGAAAAAAAAAAAGTGGATTGTCCATTTAAGTAAAAAACAAAACAAAACAAAAACCAACAACAAAAAAACCCCACCACAGCAACAACCAAAAAGGGTCATATCTGTTTCCTGCTATGCTTTTAAGTAATTCTATTTACTGTATTTCCATTTGTAATACTGAAATGAGATCATGCGAGATCTAGGAGAATTGGTCTGAAATTGTACCTGAGTTCATATTATGAAATTTTTTATTAATCTAACAGTGGTCAGTGAGAATACTGTAATTCTTATGAAAACTTTTATTTGCATACAACATTGACGAGAGCTGGGGCAAGCTGGACCTTAGAGGGATTCTGATTTCTTCCTTCTTTCTCTCTTTACAACTGCTGGGAATTCCTGCCACCAGGATCAAAAGCTGAGGGAGAGAACAGTACTGCTGATTCAGAGGGTTGATGTTGGTGTTGAATCCTGTGGTGGTTTGGAGGAGTGGGTGGAAGGGAAGGGGTGACAGCAGTGCAGTTTATTCATAGAATCATAGAATCATAGAAT